CTATTCAAAAGCAATTATTACGCCAAGAGCGAATATTTGCGAGAATAGAAATTAGACGGCAAGGTCGGGTTCTCCTGGAATGTAAATCAGGATATCACTTGGGTTGTCCTGGCGTTTATCAGTGCGATAATTGTAAGGCTAATTACTTCATAGCTGACAACAATCAAGCCGTAGAAATTTCCAAATAATCATGGCAGCCATCGAATTAAAGTTCTCTGGCACTTTTGCCAAAACTGATTATTTACAAGAATTTTCCTGCACTTATTGTCAGCATTATCTTACGGAGCAGGATATTTTGAAAGGCAATTACCGCCTTTATGTCAGTGATTATGCTAATGAAGTTGATAAAGAGGAGTTTTTTTCCCAGCGGTTAGGACGGCACCTAACCACTTATGGCTTGAATTTCTGATTAAAGGCGGTGGGACACTTGGAGTGTCCAGAAGGGGAGGTCTAATCCTCCCTTTTTCTTTTTATCGCACATCTGCGTTTGTGCTTTGTGCTTGCTAATAGGCGAAAATTAAAAATGTCGGTCTACTAATTTACTCTGCTTCGCCGAATTAATTTCCTCAGTAATTTTTACTTGTAAAGGTAAATGTAATTTGTCCACATAAGCAATTAAACTATCCAAAGAAAAATTTTCCACATATCCCCGCAATAGTTTAGCAGTAGCATTTTTATCTAAACCGAGCCGATTGGCTATTTCTGCTTCTGAAAGGTTATTTTTAACCAGATAGCGAGTAATTACTTGGCTAAATTGGTATTTGGTTTTTTCACCAACACTAGCATTATCACTTGGCATCCAACTCCCCAAACAACTATCACTTTCTACTCACTGAAAAATTTTCTCCTCCTCAGGGTCAAGTGGCATTTTGATAATTTCCTCAGTAATTTTTTTGTTGGTTGTCATAATTTTAGATATTGTTGTGTTATACCGTTATTTTACTCATAATCAGGATGACAAGTCCGCACTCACAAGTAGGCATCAGGCTCTTTTCACCATCACCAGACTAATTTATATCTTTTATTGTCTTTTTCGGGGTAATCTTTAAAGTAGTTTTTTTCTTTTCCTTGTTTACCGCTAAAAGGAAAATAGCGAGTATTCAGTAATTCCACCATCTCGATAATTCCTTCTCGGGTAATGCCATGCTTGAAGTGTTTATCACAATGAGAACTAATGCCAACATATTTAATTAGGCGGTCATTAACCACAATTGAATTAGTTAGTGGACGCAGGCAATAAGTAATTACTTCTTTTGGGTCTTGTTTTTTGTCTATGTTGGAATTTATTTTTAAGTTTTGGGTTGCCATATTGCGTTAATTGATAAAATTACAACAACTGGTTTTAATATATTTTACATAATTTCCTTGTCATCTCTTTCTCGCTAAAATTTATTCCCGACCACTTTCTATATTTAATTCCAACCTTTCTGACAATATTTTTGTTTATTTGGTGGGGATTAAGAACATTTTCACCCTAATTTTTAATTTAATCCTCTCATAAGGCTATATTATGTCAGAATTAAAATTTAAGAATAGATTATTATAAATAATCTATAATACTATAACACTTACTTTTAAGAACATT